TGTCCAGGGCCTCTAGGGTTCAGGGATTTGGGATGTTTAGGATTTAGGCGCGCCATGGTGTGCTTAGGGCTGCAGGCCTCGTTGCATTTTGGATTCAGGCGTGCTATGGCGCGCTTAGGGTGTGAGATTTTGTTTAGTTTTGGGCTGCTTTGGGTTGAGGGTTGGGGTTTTGTTTACGCTTCGGTTGCTTCGGGTTCTCTCGGGTGCAGGCTCAAGGTTGCTCAGGTTTTAAGGTTTGGTCTCGTTTAATTTGGGACGCTTGGAGTTGAGGATTCGCGCTTGTTTTCTGTGAAGGCTTTCGGATTCTCTACGGTTCCCGTTCAGGGGGAGAGAGGGTCACTTAGCCAACCTTTTTCCGGGTCACTTGGCCAACTCGGATCTCGCACCGTTTCGGCTCCCTTAGCAAACACTTTTGTGCGTCACTTAGCCAACTCAGGATTCTGCGACAGAGGGTCTTGGGCCTAGCGTTTAGGGGTTTTGGATTTAGGGTTTAGGGGTTTAGGGGTTTTGGATTAAGGGTTTGGGGATAAGAGGTTTTGGATTTAGGATAAAGGTTTAGGGGTTTTGGATTTAATGTTCAGGGTTAAAGGGTTTTGGATTTAGCATAAAGGTTTAGGGGTTTTGGATTTAATGTTCAGGGTTAAAGGGTTTTGGATTTAGGGTTTAGGGTTCAGGCGTTTTGGATTTAGGGTTTGAGGTTTAAGGCTTTTGGATTTAGGGTTTAGGGTTCAGGCGTTTTGGATTTAGGGTTTGGGGTTTAAGGCTTTTGGATTTAGGGTTTGGGGTTTGGGGGTTGTGGATTTAGGGTTTAGGGTTCAGGCGTTTTGGATTTAGGGTTTGGGGTTTTGGGGTTGTGGATTTAGGGTTTAGGGTTCAGGCGTTTTGGATTTAGGGTTTGGGGTTTAAGGCTTTTGGATTTAGGGTTTGGGGTTTGGGGGTTGTGGATTTAGGATTTAGAGGTTTTGCATTGAGGGTTTGGGCGTTTTGGATCTAGGGTTTGGGCTTTAGGGGTTTTGGATTTAAGTTTAGGGTTTTGGGGGTTGTGGGCTTAGGATCAGGGTTTAGGGGTTTTGGGTTGAGGGTTTAGGGGTGTTGGATTTAGGGTTTAGAGTCTTCGCATTTAGGGTTTAGGCGTTTTGCATGTAGGGTTTCGGGGCTTTGGATTTAGAATTCAAGGGTTTTGGATTTAGGGTTTAGGGTTTAGGGTTTAGGATTTTGTATCTAGGGTTGTGATCGTGGATGGCTTGGAGATTCTAGGAACCTATCATTATGAAATTTCCTGAAAAAACCTGAAATAAACTTGAAACGGCGAATTTCACAAACCTGAAAAAAACCTGAAAATATCCTGCCCGAGAAGAAAGCGCAAAGTCTTCCAAACTTGAAAAAATCCTGAAAAAATCCCTGAAATAATCCTGAATAATCCTGTGCGGGGGGGAAGGCAGTCCCTGAAAACCTCAAAAATCCTGAAAAAAATATTGCCCGAGGAGGGAGGGCAGGGTCTTCAAAACATGACAAAATCCTGAAAAATCTTGCCCGATGAGGGATGGCAGGGTCTTCAAAACCTGAAAAAATCCTGGAAAAATCTTGCCCGAAGAGGGATGGCAGGGTCTTCAAAATCTGAAAAAATCCTGCCCGAGGAGGGATGGCAGGGTCTGCAAAACCTGAAAAAATCCTGAAAAAATCCTGCCCGAGGAGTTAGGGCAAGGTCCTTAAAACCTGAAAAAATCCTGAAAATTTAAGGGGCTGCGCAGGGACGGGCAACGCAGGCAGCGCATTTTCTTGAATTCCCTCCCAAAACACTCAAAATTA